TATTATGATTTATCATTAGTATTCCCGCTATAAATGTATACAAACAAAGAAGTAGGTATGGTTTTGGCTTTATTGTGCCCTAAAAATTAAATGTTTTCAAAATGTTTTGAAACTGGCTTAAATATGAGTTGACTATATGACTGTGATAAATCAAGAAAGAATATAGCGTGAAGGAGGGCCATTCTGGAAATATGACATAATTAATTTGAGGCATTTCTCTGTTTTAAACAGAAAAAGCCTCCAAATGACCCATTTCAAGGGTTATTTTCCTTACAAAAATAATGTCCACAGCCGTCGCCCACTTTAATTTTTGGATATGGTGTGTAAAATTCTTTGAAAAATTACATAAATCAGAATGTTTGTGGGCGATGCATTTGGTCTATATTTTCTGGAAGAAAATTCCATTGAAAAATAAAAACAGGAAAATGCACTAGTTCATGACGTCAAAATTAGCATTTAGAAGGTCATGTGAGAAAAATGATTTTTCTGCATGAAATTTCAATGATTCAGAAAGCATGAGTTTTAATTTTTTACATCACTTTCATATGAAAGAAAAATACAGGGCAAGATTTGTATTGAAACCGTACCTTGTTCGTTTACCTGAGATTTACTCAAAGCCTCCCCCCCCCCCCATTTTTTTTCTGACGTTATGCAGGATAAGCCTTTAATCTCTTCCCCGTCAAACACAGTTATTGAATAAATTGTCTGCAAGGAAAATGTGGGAATAAGATGTTTTGTATATAAGAGGAAATACTCCTTCCTCCTATTTATTCTTTCCTCGCCTTCACCGTTTAAAAATTCATGAATCCACCAATTTCTGTTATTATTGTAACATTCTTGTTATCATAGGATTCATTCAAGCATGCCTATTAAAGATATTTAAACTATGCAATATCATCTACATGTATAAGCAGTGGCAGTTGACAGCAGTTGTTAGTAATCAGTGGGAACATGACAGTAAGCAGTGAGCAGTTGTCAGTAAGCTGTCGACTGTCGTATATGAAATTACATACAGATACTATATATCTTTAACGTATTTCACAGAAATCGCTGTGCTTATTGATTTTTTAAAAAGAAATAAAGGAGATAATATTCAGTGGATGTAAATATTACGATTTCTTCTTCTACAAGTTAAGGTCTAAACGTCACGATAGCCCAATAGGTAGAGCGCTTGCTCCGTCATCCACGGCCGCGACTGACCTAAGTCAATAAAAATAGGTAGGAACTGTTCCTTCGTCAAGCGCTCGGCACATTGGAGTGTAAGTTGCAGGTTTTTCGGATGAGACCTTACAAACCGAGGCCCCGTGTCAAGGTAGACGTTGGCACGATAAAGAACCCTCACTGCCCTAAGTGCCGAGTAAAGGCCCTTCACCGGTATATGGTGACGTTTCGATATGAGTGAAAAATTCTCGAACGGGACGTAACAAGGTCTACAAGGTTAACTAATATATATCACAATCAAATATTAGAACATTCACTGTGTTTTTGATTAATATAACGACCATTCTATATTCCAACGGTAGAATTCCCCCTCGAAATTGACAATCCATGGCCGTAGGAACCGGGGGGGGGGCGTGCCCCCCCATTAATTTTGCCGATATATAGATTACTATAGAAAGCATAGATACTATTTGCCTGTGCACCCTCAATAAAAACGTCTGATGACCTTTTTTTTTTTTTTGTTTTGTTTTTTTTTTTTTTGGTTTGCTTGTCAAGAAATTTTTGGTAGTTGATAGTGCCCCCTCAACTGAAAATGTATGCCTGTGCCCCCATCCCCCCAAACTGAAATTGCTTCCTACGGGCCTGCAATCACCGTGATAGTGTTCATAAATTTTGCAGTATTGTCTGAATTGGGAAGGTTCCCCCTGCATTATGATATTGTCAAATTGTTAATCAAAAGTTGGTATAGATTTGAAAAATTGTCCACAGAATTTCCTTTACTTAAAGATGCATATGAATGTAGTAAAAATCTTTTTGTACATGGAAAGAACTCATGGTTTGCATTTATACAGAAATTAAGAAATATACTGAATATCAAAGATGAAGTAATTTGTTATGGGAAGCATAAATTTAAGTCACTCTGTCATAAAACCATATTAGATTATTATGTAAAAAATTGGTATACAAGTCAACAAAGTTATACCGATGGTAAATTAAGCACATACATGTATGTAAAACTCAAACAAAATTGGGGTTATGAGAATTATTTATCAGTAGTTAAAAATTTTCATTACAGAAAATCTCTATGTAAATTAAGAATTTCTTGTCACAAATTGCAAATTGAAGTGGGAAGAGTTGCCAACATCCCTCGAGAAGATCGATTATGCAATAGATGTAACTCTAACAGTGTAGATGATGAAACTCATTTTCTGATAACATGTAAAAAAAATATGATCATCAAAGAAAAGAAGTTTTTCAATCAATTAAAAGTAAATTTCCAAATTTCTCGACATTAGATGATGAACAAAAACTTTTTTGGTTACTCAATACTGAAGACAAAGAAACTCTTAATTCTGTGGGCAAATTCATAAATGATAACATGTTGTGGTAGCCATACACTTTTATATATAGTATTCCCTTTAACTGAAATAGTACAATATTATTGTTGAACTGAGCAATGTCATTTACAAATTGTTATACTATCCATTGGCATATCTTTTCTTTATTATTGTAATAATTTCATACTTGTCTGTTATGGGCTCTAAATTAGAAAATAAATGTTCTGTTCTGTTCTGTTCTATCCAAACAAAAATGTCAGGTCTTGTATGTCCTCAGTTTTTGCATGGAATTAGTCATTATGTGACATATTTCATTGTTCAGCATATAAAGTTCTCAAGAGTTCTAGAAGATGGGTAATCTGAATGAAACTTCAGTAATCAACGGGATTAGTTATCCATGCAACATTTATATTTTTCAAAATGGCCACCCCTACCATCGAAACAGAGTGTAAATGAAATTTTTGATTTCCTTTTTCTTGGTACTATACAGTAAATTCTTTAGATTATTTTGATTGGTTTGAACACATTTTATTGTTTAGATGTTAAAACAAAAGGATCGGATGCAGGTTCTTATAACTTAGAACGTCCTCTCCTTTATGACATTTTTAGAATAATTACTAGGGATGTCAACGAATATTCGAACATTTGAATATTCATTCAATGAATTGATATTCGAATATAAATTTAAGATTCGAATATTCGCTGTTTTTCAGATTTCATAAAAAGAAGTACTGTGATTTAAATTTTTTTATTAGAACAGTGCTGGAATTCTTCCTGTTTAATTTACTAGCGATCAATGTCGATCTATACTTTCTTATCTTATAGATCTACTAAATTATTTTGTTTTGAATAACGTGTTAAAAAATTATACAATAATGCTTTATGTATAATACATAAAGTACTTTCATAGTTTTTATTAGTTAAATACGATCGGAACAGAATAGAGGACAACAAGATTAAAACCTTCTTAGAATGTGTACAAGACGTGAAGAGTTATACTTATCAAAAACAAATTTAATTCATCATTGAATGAATGTCCGATAGAATTAGTCTGTAATTAATATTTTAAAGGGCTAAATTTCAGTATAAATGTGTAAATTACTTGATTATCTGGGGTTGTACATAAACCTGAATTTTATATTTATCATCGGGAAATTAGTTAATTACGTAGGAAAATTGTCTATGGAAATCTTTGTTTATATTTTAAAAACATTGTATCAAAGATTATAAACATATCTTTTATTAGGCTGATAATTGCAATTAATTACACGTATTGAAATCTAAACAGTATACGACTATCTTGCCTTTGGTAAGACGACTGGTATCTCAGTTGGAACTACTATAAATACACACGTATCATTTGCTAAAATTATACTTTTTCTACATTAAAATCAATTATTTATTTAAAACATTGACAAACATCAAATGGAATCCGTTATTGTACAACTACAAAAGTCTTCATACATTTTTTACAACTACTTAAGTCTTCATACATTTTTACTTACAATATAAGATTACCTACTATGAACTTTTCATGAGAATAGGATATGCATATTTAAAATAAACCAGAATTAATATATTTTATCGAATATTCGAATATATTCGAATACTTTCATCGAATATTCGAATATGAAAAATGGACAAAATTGACATCCCTAATAATTACACATAATAATGTTTAAACAAAATAATGGAACCGAAAGTCAATATGAATATATATCTGCTTACATTAACTGTGCTTGTACAAAAAGTATGATTTGATGTTGTATATGCACTGTAAATGAATCGAAATAAGAAAAAAAACGACCAGATATTGCAATAAACTTTCCTTTTCCAAAATCATTTTGATTATTCCTTCCATCAATTATTAAGTCAAAAAAGCAAAAATATTGGAATCGGTTGGACAAACTTTTATTACTGTTGAAACAAAACGGGAAATTTTATTTTTATTTTTTTTTCTCTCTAAACGTATTTCAAACCGCATAATATTGATGTGCGAGTGTCTCTCCAAAGCTCCGGGGTCCTTATAATTTTCCAAAACGGCTGCGGTGCCATGAAAAAAAAAATTGGTAAATTCCAAAAATTTTAAATTGTATGCGAGCTATAAATTGCTTTACAATTTAAAACAAATTAAGTTTCTACTTCATATGTAGCATTTAATTATTACAACAAAAACTCAATACGAGGGATTTTTTTTAAAATTTTAATTATAGAATTCTTTAACCTGAGTACCAAATTCTACATAGTTACCCACGCCCATATCTGCGTAGTTTAAATCGTATTTTTTTTAATGGATCAGTAAGAGCCTGTCCGAGGAATTATTCAAAATAGGCTACAACTGCATTAATGACCAGGTAAATATAAAATGGCAGACAGATAGTTACACACATTGGTCCCAACGTGACATTTACATGAATTTATCAATAAACTTGGAGGTAGCATACATTGGCAGGCGCTGATTGGTAGATATTTTTACATATATTGACACAGATAAAGATTTCATGGCAGTCAGTTTACATGAGTGTGGTTGTGTTTTGAACAGGTGCAAGATGGCTTTTAACAGTTACGGGGATGCGAGGTATACCCTTAAAGATTTGCTGGAAATACCCGAGTTGCAACATCATCCTATGTTAAATAGACGTGAGTATGCACAGCTATGTACTAGTAGATGCAGGAAAATTATGCGCACCGTGGGTATCTAGCTCTGTGAAACGCATTCATTATCTTTCTTTTTATACTAGGTCAAAGGGGCCTACACGCTCTGAAATCACTTGGATTCTAAACAGTTGATGCATTATTTCATTACAAGTTTTGTTGTATTTATTAAATGATAATTTTTTTTACATTAAACAAAAGCCTCTTTATCCGTGTGAATTAATTAAATCAGAGCTAGTCCGTCAGTTGTTATATTGGGCATGATTTTTCTCTACTTCGTATACGGTATTTGATGCCATTTTTGACGGTCATGAATGATGATGATATTAAGTGACTGTAAGATTTAATTAAGTGGATATAGCCAGTGTATTAAGTTGGCATTAAATAAAATTGAAAAATTTTATATATGCATTTAATTTGTGTGTCATTTATTTGCAATTCTTAAAATATTTATTAATTATTAAAATAAGGTTTGTATCAATATTCAAATAGAGATCAAAGTAATTTTTAAGAAATTTCTTTTGCACTTTAAATATTCTGAATGCAAATATATGAATTGAAAATAAAAATTCAATGATAATTTAAATAGTGTTGCAGTTGCATAAACATATATGAGATACATTTTCAAAAAAATTGTCTATTTGACTCAAAATTAAATTTAGATTTCAGTATATGTTTAATTGCATAAGTAGTCTGTTGATTGTGAGATGCATTTTTAAAACAAAGAATGTAGATATAATTATATAGTTTATTTCTTGAGGAGATACTCTATGATACTCAATCTTACTCCATTGCTGACTAAATTAAAATCATTGCTTTTACTTGTCAAGAGGAAGACACTTAAAAAAAATCAATGGCTGTAAATTTCTCCTGTCATGCTTAGCAGTACTAGAAACACAATGTATAGCAAATCAGTAAGATTACAATAGATTTAATGCATTGTTTTCTTAATCCATATTCTGATGTACCACTTTGGAAAAAAAAAGAAGAAGACTGATATGATGTATTATATTTTTTTAAATAATTAATTTCAGCAGCAGAAAAAAAGGGTGAGGTCTCACTGGGATATGGAATAGCCTCTGCTTTTCTTGGACCCAATTTATGGAACAGTGCTAGTCAGGTGGGGGGAGGTGACAATGGGGAGTTCAGCCTCCAGTACATGGATCTAGATGAATTTCTCTCAGAGAACGGCATCCCCTCCACAGAAGTTAAAAAGATTGACAATCAGCCCTGTCAAGACCCCCCAGAGAGGAAGCGAGGTAACCTTAAATTGCTCTAATTTTCTGCCATTTTGTCAACCAAAAAAGAAAATCAGAAAAATAAGCCATTGTGTGTGTTTTACTTTTTTATTCTCTCAAGAGAGTATAAGAAGAATGAACAACAAGTTTTTATAAATGGCTTTGTCAGAAATACTTGAGCCAGGGAAAGACCTCTCAAGTTACATTAACAAAGACATTTTCTGAGGAAGCCTAGATCAGTGGAGTGATGGGTATGGCACATGACTTCAAGGCCACCCTCTTCAACAAGGATCTTTTACGATAGATTGTAAAAACAGGAAAAGGAATGAGAGAAAAATATAAAAAAGGGTGAATCATATAGTGCTAGGTTTAACTTTTTTAAGAGAGAGATTAAAAATATGCATTTAGTGAAGAATAATGCAGTGTCAATTTAGGACAGGTGATAGGCATGCATTCATGATCACTGAAACACAAAATGGATTAAAGAGGAGTAATGCAAGAGACAGAACACCTTCTGATTTAATCAACGCAGTGATGGAAATAAATTCAATTTAAGGGGACATCATATTATGAACCATTAACATTTGTATTATTTCATGTACTAGATTTTCAAGGGATGTGACTCTTAAACAAGGGGAGATAATTAGGAAAATAACAACAAACGTAATGGTTGCTAAAAAAATCTTCTTTTCAAGAACCACTGGGCAGATTATCTCCAAATTTACCTACAAGGATGAGGATATGTTGTAGATTTAAAATTGTTCAAGGCATCACTGTGGGGCAAAGGGCGTGGTCTCAAGGTCACTTTGAAGTTGACCAGAAATTATGTTTTGTTAAATCTTTAATATATTGCTTACTATAAGGACTAGGATCATCAAATCTTGTCAGTTGATGCATCTTAGGACCTCATATCATGACTCAAATGTAGGTCACAGTGACTTACTTTTTGAATTTTGCATGTATCCATTTTCAATTTGATTTTGATGCATATCTTGGATATTTTGAAGCCTATCAACATCAAAAGTTGTCAGTTTATGCATTATGGAGCCTTGAAGTGTATCACAAAAAAGTAGGTCACCATGATCTACTTTTGAAGGTTTATGGTTATATTTAAATATTTCAGATACTAACTGGCTTAGAATCACCAAACTTTGTCAGTTGATGCATTTTTGGGCCTTGGAGTATGTCAACTGAAAAGTAAGTCACAGTGATTTACTTTTGAAGGTTTATGGTTATATTTAAACATTTTCAGATACTAATTGGCTTAGAATCATCAAACTTTGTCAGTTGATGCATTTTTGGTCCTTGGAGTATGTCAAATGAAAAGTACATAACTTTGACCTACTTTTGGAATTTAGTGGCTATATTTAAATATTTCAGATACTAATTGGCTTAGAATCATTAAACTTTGTCAGTTGATGTATTTTGAATCCTCAGAATGTGTCAACTAAAATGTAGGTCACATTGACCTACTTTTTGAGTTTTTAAGGCAATATGTAAATATTTTAAATAAGAAGAGATTTAGAATCATCAAATTTTTGTCAGTTGATGCATTTTGGAGGCCTCCCAGTATGTTTACCTAAAAGAAGGTCACTGTGACCTACTTTTGGAATTTCATGGCTTTATCTGAACATTTTAGATAGTAAGGGGCTTCAAATCTTCAAACTTTGTCAGTTAATGCATCTTGGGTTCTCAGAGTGTTTTAACCAAAATGTAGGTTAATTATGATGACATACTTTTGGAATTTCCAGGCTTTATCGAAATATATAGGATAGTTAGAGGCTTCAGATAGAAGTGATAGGTTGTACAATTTATTAGAAGAGTGATTCTTGTGAAATGATTAAATTTTTATATTGTTTTCAGCTGTTTCACCCACAGAAGATTTCATTCAACTACAAACTACTGTCCCCAAAGTTCCATCTCCACTTCCCCCTAAAAGGAGTGTGTCTCCAAAAGCCAGCCCTAGGTTTGAGGGCCTCCATGAGCCCAGTCCACCCTACTATAACAATGAGGTCCTGAGAAGTCCAACCTCTCCTTACAAATCAACAGAAAATTCTCTTGGACAAAACATACCACATCAACAGCCTCAAGACAAGGACCCTACACCACAGGCACTCATCAATGGTAATTTATTTGTAATTTATGAAAATGGATAAAAGGCTGTATAAAGTGTATAACAGTATTGATACCCTGTTTATGTTACTGGGAGGGAGGTGGACTTTTTTTTAAAGGGGGGGGGGTTCTTATATGACTTAGATATAGGAATGTTGATTTTTTTTTTAAGGGGAGAAGGTTGGGATGCATAGTACAGGATATTTTACATCTACTGGTATTCTGTTCAGTATCACCTGGTCAATGAAAATAAATGTACTATACATGTATCAACAATTCTATCTTGGTCATCCTTATTTTGTTTACCTGCCTTGTGCGACCTTGACCAGAATATTAAGAGATTTTCATTTAGTTAGGTTAAGGTCATGGACGTCAAAGGTAAGAAGAATTTGATGCAATAAGAATACAATGGAGTAAAAAAGTTACACAGATTAAGTGTTAAATATGGTGAGAGATTATACATGTTTGTGAAGAATGATGGTGACATTATCAATTTTCAATCTTTCAATCCAACTATGAAGTTTTTTATCAATTTTTTTTTAACAAATCAATTTATCATCAAAGGAAATCTGGAAACTGAAAAGTACATTAAGATAGAAAAGTGGACTAGATTTGACTACAGTAGAATTGTTGTGATGTCATGCATTTTCTGCCCAAAACAAATTTATATCCCAGCTATTAAAGGAAATGCTTTTACTATTGGATATGCCATTACAGTATATATGTATGGTGACAGATTCATTAGTTTCGTTGAATGTTATTAAATGGTGTGAAACCTTTGTAAAAAGTTGATGTGATAGGGTAACGGATGGCTTGATTCAGAGTGGTTAAGATGTAACGTGTCTCTACTTTTACTGCATTTTTTTTTCACATATTGATTTTTGCTGTAGATCTTGGCCATCTAATCCCAACGCAACAAAATGTCATTCAGTAGAGAGAATCTTTAAAGAAGAATCCGGGTTAACATTACTGAGGTCTCGTGTAGATTTAATGGCTTACAGTTTTTTACTCTAGAACCTTCAAATTGGCATTATTATGATTTGTATTTTTTTTTTTTTAATTCTAGTACATCAACTCTGTATGAATAGACAAGATTCAGCCCATGTATTAGTCTCAGCAGTTAATGTGCCCTGTGCATGAAGTTCACGTGAAAAACTATGGCAGAATAAGGGGGATGCACCAGGCATGCCCCACCTCCCTCTAAAATTAAGACTGTCTTGATAAAACTCATATAAACTTAATAACCATTGTGAGGAGTTTCTTCTCAGATCTACCCCTTAAAAGTTTCACATAAGATTCACATGTATGGATTCATCTGAACCAAATTCATTTACGGTTCTCAAGAGCAGTTTTTACCTTAAATTCACATGAATATTTAATACCGCATATATATACATGTATACATTTTTCTCTCATAGAATTTTTCAAATTAGTTCATGTGAAGTCTTTTTTTGCCATGATAGGCCATGCAAATGAAATTCTACATATTTTTTCAGTCGTTCTTGTGCTTGCATATTTTTAATTTCAGTGCATAAACACCTCTTTATTGTATGCTTTCTCTCTCCTACAATGTTAGCTGGTTGGTGAGGATGGAAAGTTTTACTGTTTATTTTATGTTGTAGACCGTGGGGACAGTTTGAGACATCGAGGGGAGGTGGATCAGACTAGCTCTAATCGGTCTAGTCCTCCTGCGCGTAGTCCAGTGGCAGATTATGAAGTGAATCCAAATGACTTGGCTCTAGCATCCATTCCAGGTAACATATATGTACCTGTTTCCATGACAACCACACAGTGATGAATATATAGCTGTCAATTGTTGGGATGAAGAGTCTTGTGTTGACAGATATAAGTCAATAGATATATCAGTGAGAAAAACTTCAGTTAAGTGTAAAAAACAGGATAAATGACACACTGATATTTGATTCTCTTACTTTGCTAAAATATAAGATGTTATTGTGTTGAAGACTGGTTTTTATAATGTGTGCAATATTGATTAACTCTAAAATCTCAAAGGTAATGGTGGTGGGGATGGTGGTAGTGGTGATGGGGGGGGGGGGGGGGGGGGAAGGGTGCTAGGCCCCATTCTTGGCCAAAGCCTGTGCATTAATGTTAAAAAAAAAACATATGACATACCATGCCTCATTGAGTCATTCTTCATATTTTCAATTTTCCTATCGATCATCACCTTTCTATTTCGAGTTGTCTATACATGATGCACATTCCCCCATCCCTATTCCAAAACACCAATCTATTTTTTCATTAGGTAGAAATTACTATCTTCCCATAATCAAAAATTAGGAGGATTTTTGGTCTGTCTGTCCACAACAACATTAACCTTGGTGATGACTTGGTGCTAGGGCTTTCATATTTCATATGTGTGTTTCTTGTGACTAGACTTTTCCTTGGGGTACCCACATTTTTTACCTTGACCTTTGAATTTGACCTTGCTCTTAACTCTTGAATGTTTGGTGCTAGCTAGGACTTTAAATAATTCACATGTATATTTCTTGTGACAACTTTAACTTTTCTTTAAGTACATACATTTTTTGACCTCCTGACCTTGATCTTGACCTTAAAGTTTGACCTTTACTTTTGAAAAACTTAAACTTGCCCATAACTTCTAAACAGTTGTAGCTAAGGCTTTCATATTTCACATAATTTATATTCATTATGACAAGACTTAAATACCAAGTTTTTGACATCATGACCTTAACCTTGGAGTATGACGTACTTTTGAAAAAGTATAACCATAGCCATAATTTCTGAATGGTTGGTGGTAGTGCATTCTTATTTCACATGTCTATTCCTTGTGACAAGACCTTTCTTTGGGTACCAACATTTTTGGCCTTATGACCTTGGAGTTTGATTTACATTTGAAAAACTTTAACTTTGGCCATGAGCTGCCATATAGGGGCATCAGTGTTTGACAAATACATCTTGTTTATTTTGATTCCCTCCAATTTATGTAAAATTTCCTGATTCTAAAAATGAATCTAACTTTTTTTTGGTATTTGACAGTACTTACTTTGTTTATAATTTAGTAAAGAATTACTTGTACAGTATGTACATTTCCTCTTCATCAGATGTTCTGGCATCAATTAAGTATTTTGTATAAAAGTTTTGGCCCCCTGAATTACTTAAGATGGTCTATAATCCTCATCCATTATAGTCTATTGACTTTTCCTGAACTTATACTGACCCAATGTCAATGAAACTGAAACCATGCACTGACCCAAATTTCTCAAAGCACCAGATTTTTGATTTTTTTTAAATGAAGCAAATTAATGGATCATTAATGGAGAAAATATGCATATTAATATTCTTTGAATGTGTAGTATTAATGAGCTAGAAATGATGGATTTAATCATTAAATCAGCTATCTTATTTAATGTTATATAATATTTCATGTATAAATGAAAAATCTTTTTAAAATCTTCCTCGGAACAAATGTATCTAAAGAAATTTAAATTTACACGAGAGCATCATAGCTGTAATGGTGTAGATACAAATTAAATGTTAAAATAAGAACCCCCAAAGCAGAATTGAGAACACAGTTTGAATAGCATTACTTAACTGTATTTACATAAAATATTGTGATTGACAGAGTGGCTACCTCTTTTGTAATAAGTTTCATTTCATTTAACATTGTTTAATATACATGTATCTCCCCTCCTTTCTGGAAAATGGTATTTTGCCTCAGGCCATCTTTAAAAAATTGTTTGTTTGCCCTCTCCTGATTGACTGGCTAAAATGGCCAGACCCAATAAAAATTCTAACCTCCAATAAACAATATTTTTCAAATTAAATTTTATTATAATATATTTTGAAAATTTAGCATTGATATTGAAATTATCTGGGGAAAAATATTTTCCACCTAACTACCGACCCAATTTTTTTTTACCATGAGTCAGGAAAGGGCAAACAAACATTATTTTAAAGATGACCTCAACTAATTATCACATTAATTAATATTCAAGTATACCGATATGGAGTAAAGTACATGCAGTTTCTTCAATCAGCCCTTGGGATCACATCATTAATTCACAAAGAAATTTTAATAGGATTGTGGCATGTTACCAAAGTGACCATTATTGCCCATGCAATGGGCATCACATTGACTATCAACTACATAAGTAATAATTGTGTAGTTTTTTTGTAGTACACTTAAGTCACAGTATTGATCTAGATAAGGGAAATAATGTTCTTTTTCTACTGAAACACTCAGAGTGAAATTTGCAGAGAGATTGATGAATGGATTAAATGTTTAAGAAGTATATATAGCTCTGTGTCCTGAATTCAGAGTCTACTGCTGCCACTCCTGGAAAAGGGCAAGATACTTTATGTCAAATCACTGCAGGACTTGGATTCCATTATTGCTTTCTCACTGTGTCTGGTGATTCTTTCATTAATTAAATTATTCATCAAAAAGAAGTCAGCCCAAGATCCGGTGTATTCTTCCCAAGTTTACGCTTATTTTCCTCAATCAATACCCAAACATGTCATAATTACGATGGCTAATGATCTCCTTCCAGAGCTTCACTTTAATCAGTTTCAGGAGTAATACTTTTTTGAAATTAGGTCACCTGAGTTGTCCTCCATCATTTTAGAACCTTTTTAGGTCACCTGAGTCACTCAGGTGACCTATTGCTCTCCGTTTTTGTCCGTCGGCGTTCGTCGTTCGTCGTGCGTCGTGCGTTAACATTTGAACATTTTTAGCTTCTTCTCTGAAACCACTCAACCAATTTCAACCAATTTTGGCATATAGCACCTATGGGTGAAGGGGAACAAAAATTGTGAATTTCATGGTCCCTGCCCCCCTGGGGCCTGAGGGGTGGGGCTAAAACCACCAAAATTAATGCAATCTTTAAAAATCTTCTTCTTTACTCCTGGACATCAAGCAGTCAAACTGTTGGCATGATTGTAATAAGCAATGAGCCCTCTACCAAAATTGTGAAATTCATGGCCCCAGGGTCAGGGGTTGTGGTGCTAGGGTGAAAGTGCATTATTTCTTTGAAAATCTTCTTCTCTGCTCCTGGGTATTAAATAAACTAACTAAGTACATAGTTATGATGAGCATGGCAGCCTGTTCCAAAATTGTGAATTTCATGGTCCCTGGGTCAGGGGTTCTGGTGTTAGGGGGTGGGGGGCTCTATTGATTATATAGTGAAAATGCATTAAATCTTTGAAAATCTTCTTCTCTGCTTCTGGGTATGAAATATACTAACTGAGTACATAGTTATGATGAGCATGGCTGTGTCTTCCAAAATTGTGAATTTCATGGCCCCTGGGTTGGGGGTTCTGGAGTTAGGAGGGGGGGGGGGGCTATTGATTATATAGTGAAAATGCATTAAATCTTTGAAAATCTTCTTCTCTGCTCCTGGGTATGAAATAAACTAACTAAGTATGTAGTTATAATGAGCATGCCTGCCTCTTCCAAAATTGTGAATTTCATGGCCCCTGGGTCAGGGGTTTGGGTGTTAGGGTGGGGCTCTATTGATTATATAGTGAAAATGCATTATTTCTTTGAAAATCTTCTTCTCTGCTCCTGGGTATTAAATAAACTAACTAAGTACATAGTTATGATGAGCAAGACTGCCTCTTCCAAAATTGTGAATTTCATGGCCCCTGGGTCAGGGGTTCTGATGTTGAAGGGGGGGGGGGGTTCTATTGATTATATAGTGAAATGCATTAAATCTTTGAAAATCTTCTTCTCTGCTCCTGGGTATGAAATATACTAACTGAGTACATAGTTATGATGAGCATGGCTGCCTCTTCCAAAATTGTGAATTTCATGGCCCCTGGATCAGGGGTTCTGGTGAAGGGGGGGGGGGGGGGGGGAGACTCTATTGATTATATATTGAAAATTCATAGTTTCTTTCAAAATATTTTTTTCTACTCCTGGTTATAAAGCAAAGAAACAAATGTATAGTTATGATGAGCAAGGATGCTTTTACAAAACTTTTGAAACTTGTGGTCCCAGGGGTTCTGTTGTTTCTCGGGGGGGGGGGGGGGGGGGGGGGGGGGCTCTTTTTGATTATATAGTGAAAATGTGTGAATTCTTTGAAAATCTTCAACTAATTGCATGATAGTTATGATGATGAGGGTACCTCTTCCAAATTTGTAAATTTTCATGACCCTAGGTCATGGGTTTTGGTGTTAGGGTAGGGCTGTGTTAAATAGTGAAAATGCATTATTTCTTTGAAAATCTCCTCTGCTCCTGGGCATATTAGAAGCAAACAGAGTAAAAGTTTTAATAAGCAAGGTATTTTTACCAGAATTTTGAACATCTGGACCATTTAGTCAAGTGTTCTGGTCCTTGTCAGGGCTCTATTAATTTGTATTCTACTGAGTGAAGTTATTCACCTTTGCTATTCACCTTTGATAATTAATCACTGTAGATAATGTATTTGAAAGATTAATAGAATAAGAAAATTATGCAAGAACATTTATTGTATAATGCAAAAAGTACTTTCATAGTTTTAATAATCAGATAGACTTGGAAATAATAGATGAATAAAAATGAAACAAAAATAACTTATCTTTTTAAATGTTCTTCAAAGGCCAAGTGAGGCCAATGTGAGAGGTAATAATAGAGACATCTATTATGATCTTAATCGTACTATCTTCCTTGCTATTGGGCAACAAAGCTTCGTTTATCAGTTTATGGATCCTCTAAATTGTTGTACTCAGGTGACCGTTAAGGCCCTTGGGCCTCTTGTTTTATTCTTTCTTTGGAATGGCTGATACATTGTCAACCATGCAGTTTTGTTGTTTGGGTTAAGGGGAAGAAAAATTGTGGACTTCATGGTCTCTGTCTCCCTGGGGCCTATGGTTGTGGCCAAAACCATGAAAAATAATGCATTTTTCAAGAATTTTTCCAACTCCTGGAGATCAAGCAGTCAAACTGTTAGCATGATTATAATAAACATGTGTCCTTTACCAAAATTGTGAACCCTCATAAAATTCTTGTTTCAAGGGTCTAGCACTCAATGACATGCCCTTAGGTGGAACTAATTTGGTCATATTTTGAAAATATATTTTGTCTTAGAAATTTTCTTTACTCATGGATGTATAGCTGACAAACTGTTTGTGTAATTATAATCAATGCTTAATTAGCTGCCTGCCAAAATTTTAATATTCATGGCCCTTGACCTGTGGTTCAGGCCAAAAGGTAAATTGGGCTATATAGGTTGTCCTGTCGTATTTCAGTCTCATCACATCTTTGAAAATATTCTTCATTACTTATGGTTATCTAGCAGGCAAATTGTTTGCATGGTTATAATATATGAGCAACTAATCCTCTACAATTTTTTAAAGAAAAAATCATGGTCCAGGGATCAGTTCCAGGAGTAACACTTATTTGTAATTAGGTCTCAGGGTGGGTCTAATTTGATCACATTTTGAAATTGACATTACACAATGTACCTTATTTTCTGTTCTTCTAAACTTCACAGGGACAAGCTGTATGAATGAGTAACAGAGTCCTCACCACACTATAATTTTTTTTTCATATGAAATCAGAGTTAAGATCCAGGTAGGGATAATGTGGTTACATAGCCTGAGATATGATACTCGGGTGACTGTGAAGGCCCATGGGCCTCTTGTATTTCTGTAGAAATGATTAAATGTATGATTATTTTAACAAATCTAGGACAAGAAAATTTTGATCCCAGGAAATGTCAATTTACAGAGGAAGAGTTGAAGCCCCAGCCCATTATCAAGAAATCACGAAAGGTAAAAGTATATGGAGTAGAAGATCTAATTCTGAGGTATTGTTTATGCAATAAGAGTAAGCTGCCCTTTGATCTAAAATCAAATAAACTGAAATCTACAAGTATTATTATGCAATTTGTAATCAATTCAAGCATTCTAAACTTTTAAATCAACTTAAAACTCTATACGAGATGTACATGTATATATTCCCCTTTTAAGTAAGCAACTGGGATTTCTGTTCATCAATATTTTGTTGTTTTTTAACATTTTTTTGGGGAGTAGATGGTTGTTTCCCCATGTTGAAAATGAAATAGATACACTCAATTTTAACAACATAATTTATATAGGTTATAATTTTCTTAATGTCCAAAAACATTTTTCATTAGTGTCTAGAAGGTTCTTAAATGCATCATTCCTTCAACTTCATTACACTAAAAAGAAATGAAGAATTAATTATACCATATATGATGAAAAATAATGAAATGCATTCTTTACTAGAAAATGTAGAAATCCAAAATGGAGAGAAATTTTTATTTGTTATACATGTACATGCATGCAGTGCTATTAAAGACTTTTTGACATTTAATAAAGTATTAAAGTATCCGGTGTATTGTATTTTTCTTAACTTTTCAGGTTTTTGTACCAGAAGATTGTAAAGATGAGAAGTATTGGTCGAGACGGCTAAAAAACAATGTAGCGGCCAAACGATCACGAGAGGCTCGCCGTATTAAAGAAAATCAGATTGCACTGAGGGCTGGGTATCTAGAGAAAGAAAATAATGCACTCAAAGATGAAGTCAAGAAGATGAAGGAGGAAAATACAAAATTATTAAAAAAGCTGTCTAAGTATGAACAGGTGGGCAAGTAGTACCATCAATATGGACAATATTTGTCATACAAAGAATTACCATCAATATGGACAATATTTGTCATACAAAGAATTGAGGTGTCTCTTTGACATCCCAAACACCCGCTATAGTATATTGTTTCTGAGGATTGTCCTTAACTGGTATGGTTGAAAAATCACTATCTCAAATAGTGTCATGTTTACATAGCTTTCTCACATATTCATTCCAAGAAAATAATGTTTGGTCATTTTAAATATATGAAATCATTGTAAATTCATTAAATGCAACAAGAAAATATGTGTTGCATTTCTGCAAATTTATTTGAATTTCTAAAAATAAATAAAAATTCATTTCTTCAGAATCTGATAGAACTACATTGTGAGCATGTTTACTTATTTAAGTTAAGAAAGCTAGATGAGGTTTTTAGCTAACCTGAGCTGAAAGTTCAAGTGAGCTTTTCTGATCACCTGTTGTCAGGCATCTGTCTGTCTGTAAACTTTTTTTTTTCTTGAAGAAGTGTAGATTCTAAATTGTTTAAATCATGACCCCGGGGGTAAGGTGGGGCCACAATAGGGGATGATATTTTTACATTGAAATATATAGGGAAATTAAGTCTTTAAAAACCTTTTTTTTCTGAAGAACAACTGGGTCAGAAAAAAGCGAAACTTATGTGGAAGCATCCTGAGGAAGTGTAGCTTCTAAATTGTTCAAATAATGACCCCTGTTGGTAAGGTGGGGCCACAATAAGGGGTAAAAATTTTACATTGAAATAAAATGGGAAAATCTGAGAAACCACTTCTTCCTCCAAGAACCACTGGACTAGAAAAGATGAAATTTATGTGAAAGCTTCCAATGTAATATAGATTCTAAATTATTCAAATCATGGTCCCTAGGGGTAAGATGGGGCCACAATAAAGGATCAGATCTTTACATTGAAATATATAAGAAAAATACTCAAAATCTTTTTTTGAAGCAAATAAGATGAAACTCATGTGAAGTGTCCCAGTATTGGTGTAGGTATAGATATTATAGGGATATTGAACTTATATTGGTGAAAATCGGCACAAGTTGGCTGCATGTACAAACCGAATGCACGAGCTTGTGCATTTACGCAGCCAACTCATGCAAGTTCTATAACCCCTTTATTATATAGCTGAAACTTTTTCCCATTGATTTATAACTCATGTATTCAGTATCAGTTTTTAAATTAAAACTGCAATATTTCATCATTACAATGAAACTACCAAGTGTTACGATTTGCTTATTGAGGTTTTTATTGAGGCTTATAGGTACTTAATTGTAAATTAATAATTTCAATCTTGTGTGAAATTAGACACATCTTACCTAGCTCCCACTACCTATCATAAATATTACCAGTTGGCTAGGCAACATTTTTTGTTTACAATGGGTTCAATATTGAACGCTCACATTCGGAATACTCGTATTCATATTGCAAACTCAGCATTCAATAAAATACAAAGATATTGATATATAAGTATTTTACCCCTGATATCGCGAATCCTCAGATATCTCGAAGTTTTTTTCTTTGAGTTCGAGATAAAGAGGTTTAACTGCACTATATAGGTATTGTATAGATTCTAAACTGTTCAACTCGTGAAACGAAAGGGGGTTAGGGTTGGGTGACAATAGCTGATCAAAGATTTGCATGGAATTATGTCGGAGAATTTTTTTTTAAAAAATCTTCTAAGGAAAAAGAAACGCAATAGAACCATTAATTTGCAAACGCTTCCAAGCTGTGTGAATTTAATTTTTTTCAAATTATATGGTTAGAGTTGGCTAAAATCAGGATCAAATTTTACATTATGCATGTGTACAGCGAAGGAATTTTCTTCTCCACTGGGAGGGGCCATAATATGGCGTCAAAATTTTTAATGGGAATATAGAATTCTTTTAAAAATCTAATGAACAGCAGAACTAAAGTAACTCAGGTGAGCATTGTGGCCTATATGGGCCTCTTGTTTTTTTTCACTAAGATGGAGACATACATAATAGTTCTATCATAAACTATTTTTTTTTTTAATGAATAATGGTAAGAGTGTTATACTTATCTGTCTGTTTTATTATCTGCATTTATTATTTTATTACATACTTAGTAGCGAATACAGTTTGTTTTGTTTTTTTTGCATATGCAATATGCCTGACGTCACAATAGACGTATCAGCTTCCATGCAGGGCTGATATATATCCTGCAGGGCTGATACAGATTTATATCACACCCCTTGTAGATTAAACCTTTAAAAACAGTACTTATGATAACATTTATCTATTTTTATTTTTTGTTCAATTCTCTTCATTTCAATTAACTGTTCTTTGGTATAATAAGCTATAGTCAGTGCTTTTTTATTTGTACAGTAAAACTCGGTTATAACGAAGTCACTGGGACCTGTGAAATTACTTTACTATATCCATAAATCGCTATATCCATATAAGGAATTTGTTAAATTCATATAGCTGGGGATCCAAGAAAACTTCGCTATATCCGTGAATTCGCAATATCCGTGTTTGTACTAAACGAGTTTTACTGTATTTGCTCAAGTAGATGTGTGCTGTATTTAATTACTAAGTATGTAAATATTAAAGTATCAAAACAATATATACCCTTTTCAATAGCACATCCGGTGTCAGCCCTCTCCAAATATCAGCCCTCAGGCCTTTTGCCCTCTGGCTGGTATATTTGTCTTGGACTGATACAGGATGTGAAAATGGTTATGTGTTATTCTCTGTGTACATTAGTTATATCACAAGTTTGTATGAAATATTAGAACCTGAACATGACAGCATGTTTATATTGCCTGTTTTTTTTTGTTTTTTTTTGAAGCTGCACAGATTTAGTTAGCAACAGGGTGATGATATTGTTAGTATACTAATAGGATTATTTGTCATCTACTGGTGACAGCTTTTCTGGCTTTTTAACCTGATACTTACACCTGCAACTGACAACCTCAGTGGGTGTCGAGATAGATGTATAGTCATTTCATCTCAGCCAACAGCATGTAGCTTTAAAAGTTAAAATCTGTGTTGTCATTTCACCCAACAGCTCTTCTCCAACTGTTACTGGATTCCCTTCCTGGTATTTTGGCTTGCCTGAGCCAGAGGTTCAAGTGCACAAATTTTGCATACATGTCTGTAAACTTTATTTCCAACTTTTTCTCCAGAATGACTGCATGAGCAAATTTCAGCCAAACTTGGCATATGAAATAGAATATTTTGGAAAAAAAATATTCATGTTTTGACCTAAGAAGTTTAAAGTAGAATTTAAATTGTTAAATTGATTACACATGCATATATATATGCAGTATGAAATATTAGAAATAAATTGATACATCAGTATAAATTATAATGATTAAAGGATACATTCAGGGCTTAATTGAACCTTTTTGGTGCAGGATCTTGTACCCTTATAAATTGGAATTTTAAGTAAAAAAATAAGCAACAAAAATAAGGGATATATATTGATGAAATATTTATTATGTTTTTATTGTAAAATAAAGACAATTATATTGTAGGCCTATCCTTAATGTCATTTTTATATAATCTCAGACTTAATTTTTGTTGATAAAAATCACTGAAAATGCAATCTGCTTGTCTTTTGGAATTTTAACCTTAATTTTGGAGGGGGGGGGGGGGGGAGTCAATTTTCACATTGGGACAGGGTCCTTTTACTGGACCTGCATATCAGGGATATTAAGCCTTGACATTGTACTACCTAGATAGGAAAAAAATTTAAATCATTTTTTTTTTCATTTGATGCCATGTATAGAATATTGATATATATTAATTTTTCAAAATAAATTAGCATTCCATCTCACCTAAATGTGGTGGCCAAAAAAACTTTTTATTGAAATAGGCAGTGATAAAAATCATCTCAGAGAGAATAAAATATAGGAAAAGTTTAATTTTTCTGTATCATTGAAATGATCTATCCATGGTCATTGCAGATCAGAAATTACCTTGTATATACCATGTATAGATCTAGTTATTCAATTTGGAGATCAGAGGCCTTTTCACAATTAACTGAACATAATTTTTATAAAGTCTGCATGTTTAATTCCTATATAAAACATTCTTCCATTTTTGATAAACTGATCGAGATGTATTATTGTAAGAACAAAGACCCAGACAGTGGATATTTTTCTATGCTTCGCCCTTGTGAGTTGTTTTACAACTCTCTGTTGTTAGTAGAGCTCTTTGTTACATTTTCAACACTGAAATTCAGTGTACTGTAATTTATTACTGGAATAAAAGTGATATTCTTTCACACTGTGAACAAATATCAAAACTTGATTCTCCTTCCCTTTACAAAGAGTGTTGTTAAAAAATTACTCCCTAGCCTGTTTTAAGATAGAGGGAGTAAATAAACCATCCTGACAGAACTTGAAACTCCCAAAGTTATATTTGAAATATTTTTTTGAAATATTTTTTTTTGCTGCACAGTATCAGCAGAGTAAATTAGGGGTTCCTACACAAGCTGATTGATTTTTGATGAAGTCTGTAATCTGATTTAAAAGGAAAGTTGAGTTCTCTGATTAGAAATGGATGTCTACACCAGGAGTTGCTGGCGGGGTTTTACATATGCATGATGACTTACTATACTGATGCACTGTGGCATTATTTAAAACCAGTTTTACTATTCCTTTCAGTTCAACAATATTCTTTTGTTGAGCATATTGCTTAAAAAACAGAAGAGGTTCCAGTGCATCTATTTTTCTTAATTCATGAAATAAAATTGGGGGAAATAATATTCCAGAAAAGGAGCTTCACAAAACAGCTTTATTATATTTTATATAGTTTTCTAGGGAAAAAAATTGAATTCAAATTACTTAAAAAGTATGTTTTTCCAAGTCATTACTCTAAAATATTTGTAGTGCATCTTAATCGTACATGTTTCTTATTTCTGAGAAATGAATCCTAAGTTTTGTAAACAAATGCCATGCAGACACAACGAATATAAACCAATAAATATAACTTTTTTAACTTTCATAACTTTTATATGGGCTATGCATTAGAATTGCTAATGCCCATACAAATGTCGTTGTTTCTGTAATTCCATCCACTGATTTCAAAGGGGATGATTGTGCACTGGAAGTCATTTCAGTTAATTATTACTGGTAAGTCATTTGCTCAAAAGTCAAAGATCAAAAGGGGACCACAGGTCTGATTAAGTAAACAACTTTGTACTTGGGGGTAGGATGATCACTTTGTCAACTTTCTAGTTCAATA